GCAGCTGCAGGTAAATTTGAGCAAATCAAATGCCAAATGGCTGTCCTTGTGGGGACAGACTACTACCATCAATTCATCGGTAGCCCTACTAAATATCAGGGTATAACCATGTTAAACTCTGCAGGAGGTAAATTACTCTCAGGCCCAGTATCAAGTCTGAGGAGACCTATGCCTGCAGATAAACAATACCAATAGAAATCTAAATTTGTCAGCTGATTATATTTCTCCAGTAGCATTATACTAAGGAGATTACAGCTGACTATAGTAACAGGGGTTGATGTTAGTATCATCATTTAAAGCTGAAGATGAGTTCATGAGGCCTCAGTGGCAAATCAGTGAACAGTAGCCTAAAACAGCTACAAGTCACTGCGACCAATGTCACTGAACCCACTGCAGTCTCAGAACCATACTTTACTTTATTGATGAGCTATTCAATCTTCTGAATCAATTAACTAAATTAAACCCCAATAAATCTGATGACTGATTTGATACATTTATTATTTAATCAAGATGTATTCCATGGGCCTCAGTGTTTATATATCAGTGACCAGTTACCTGAAGAAACTTCAAGTTATATCTAATGTCACTGATCTCACTGCAGTCCCTGAATCATACTTGACTGTAGTACTTGATCACATCCAGTCTTCTGGGTTAAATAATATGTGATTAGGCTTGAATATTAGCCTTTCAAGAGTTGACAGGGAAATGAAATCGCATTAGACTTCTAACCCCTGCAACTCTAGTACGGGACATCCGTCCTGTACGAACAGACACACAAATGTGTGATTACTAACTACTAACATCAAATTAATGTAATAATTCGAAGGAGGAGTATCGGTGTTCGTCTGTTCTAAACAGGACTTCGACCCGTGAGCAGCCCCCTGGGGAATTATGTCGGAAAATCCGACACCATTTAATAATCATACAGATAATAGCTGCTGTATTACCAACAAGTTAACCATAGAAAACGTAACTTGTAGTGGAATTACCGTCTATAGAAAACGGGATATCATCACCACACACTATTATAATTCACCACCTATTATGGTGGGAATTATTCTTAAATACATTAGTCTTTGGACTTTACCATCATAAAAACATCTTATATAAATTAACTTAATTATCAATATTAAAGTAGAGTAAATGTGACCCTTCTATCACTTTCTGAAATCTGGACAAAGTAGGCCAGGCGTCAGAGTGGAGGAGGAGGGCAGCCATTGTTGAGACTAGACCAGAGGCTCACACGGGAGCAAATTCGGCTCCTGTTAATTTTACTTGGACGTAGTGTTATGGAAACCAGAAGTGTACCATTGTCAACACGCTGTCTACAAATTCAAGTTAAGTGTCTATCCGAAACCCGTTTATCATTCATTTATGGCCATTAATGTCAGGATATAGGGTGACCCGGTTAGATCGCGAAATCGCCTCAAACTAAAGGTAATTAAGCCAGGTCTCAATGTTCCATATAGTGTTTTCTCTGAAATACTTGTCATATACTAGGTTTCTGGCTTCACAGCTAGCGCCCTTTTGACAGGTCAAGACGAGGATGCAAGATTGTGCACCAGTTACTGGGTGATATAGAAGCTACCTCAAAGAGGATAATTTGGTGTCTACACTCTAGTTATACCTGGTGGACTAACCTGCTGTACTATAAGAGAAGGAACCTCATCAATGTATGTAGCTATTACTGTAATTTGATTGGCTGCATATGTGTAATATAAACCCCCCCTAATGTGTAGAGGATCGATTTGTGAGATTATGAGATTATTGCAGAAATACAGTCCACTTATCATTATACAAATTGCTATCGAAGTATATAAATTAACGTAAATATAAATTCTATATATATTCATATAAATTAAATAAATATAAATCTCACAGGTCGGTTCCCACACTGCCTGGCCCTCACACCACAGTGTGCTGGTCCCCCCCCCCCTGCCTGGCCCTCACCCCACAGTGTGCTGGCACTCCCCCCCCCCCTGCCTGGCCCTCACACCACAGTGTGCTGGTCCCCCCCCCCTACCTGGTCCTCACCCCACAGTGTGCTGGCACCCCCCCCCCCCCCCTGCCTAGCCCTCACACCACAGTGTGCTGCACATCTCGAGTAATTCCCCTTCATTATCAGCCTCCCACAAGCTCATTATTCTTTTTTTATCTTTTTTGCTCGCCTGCTGCGCCTGCCGCGGGTAAAGTTATAATACGGACCAAAGCTCGCGGAGAGAACTTGGGAGCCACCAGTCGGAAGTTTTCACACAGACGGAAACCTCCTTCTCCTCCTCCTCCTTGAAACTTGACGAGTGAGCCGAGACCTGACTGGGGGGGGGGGGGAATGGAGGAAGGGATGGAGACTGGGAAGAAGATTGGGGGGAGGGATGGGAAGGCTTACTGCAGAAGTTAGAGGTGAGCTGTGAGTGGCGGAGGTGAAGCAAGGGGAGCACAGGTGGCTCTGGAGTAGGGATACCTGCCGCTCGAGCAGCAAATGTTGCCGTGGAGGAGTCGAGGCAGTTGTGGAAAAGCTTGAGTCTGCCACTCAACATTCAGTCTGTGTACAGATTTCTGGGAGCACAGGGCTGCTGTAACTACATTTGAAAATGTATGGAGTCTGCATCCAACACATGACAGCGCATTCCATATATTCAATACTCTGCCACTTAAAAATATATTTACAATATATCTGTAACTAATTTTGGTGCTTAGTTTCCACCCATTCCATTTATCGTGTACCGCCAGTGCTAAATAGCCTTTCCTTGTCTGCCCTATCAGTTACCTGATACATTTATAAGTGGTAATCATGTCTCCCTTAACTATTCTGACTTCCAGTGACGCAAGGTTTAATTCTCTTACGTCGTAAGAGAATACCTCTCAGTTCTCGGACTAGTCTGGTGGCACACCTTTCACTAGAGAAGGATTTCAGATGAGGCCGCATAATCCAGGTCTGGTCTGACGTATGTGGCATATAACGTTTTGAATAAATCCTTACTGTTAAGGACTTGATTTATAAAAGTAACACAAAGACAAAATTAGGTTTTGATTAGATTATTAAAGATTAATATTAAAAGATTAATATTAAAAGAATCACATTTTCTTCTAGAAGAAATCTCAGTTTATGGAAATACAGAAAAATACCAATAAATTTCAACTAATAATGTTCTTCAAATTCATTTTAAATATATAGATAAGCTTGTAAATATTATGCCAAGGAAGCTTAATAGTTACCATAAGAAGAAAACCTGTTGGAAACCTTCCCTTCCATCCCATTCCCCCTTTTCCTACGCTTAAAGTCGCCCCCCCCCCCCTTCTTCCGTCTATTACCCATTACGCTCCTTCTCATCTCTTCCCCACCTGTCCTCTCTCCTCACTATTCCACTTATCAATAACCAGCTCCCTTGTCCTCCCTCCCCCATGCTCCCCCTATTCTCCCCTTTACGTCCTTCCTCTCCACTCCCCCTATCCTCCACTCCCCTATCCTCCCCTCCCCCTATCCTCCCCTCCCCCTATCCTCCCCCTCCGCTCCCCGTATCCTCCCCCTCCGCTCCCCCTATCCTCCCCTCCAGGATTACCATGAATGACTTTTGAGATGGGACATTATCTCCATTTTTTAAGCATCCACAGATTAATTTTCCCGGAAGCTGCTTTCTTGACTTCTCTCTGTGTTTTATTGTAGATGAGTTATCGCTGAACTTGTTTTTAAGCGTGTGCTCACCTAGTTGAACTAATTGTGCTTGCGGGTCCTGCTACAAGCGCTATGAATTGTTCTTCCCAACCAATTATTGATAATATTATTCATATAGTTATTAAGTAGAGTTCGATCTACTAGCAGAGTGGTGCTTGTTACAGCAGCTGAGAAGCGCTTAGTCCAGCAGCTAAAACGTGCCAATACCAGCAACTTCTTCACAAAATTTTACTTCAGAACAAAAGACATGATCCGGAGCGTGTAAGTGGCGCATCACCGTGTGGACTCAACAAGTGCCTCTCGCTCTTCTGTTACTGAACTCACTCTAGTTTTTCAGACTGACGTCATCCAGAGAAAGGACCATTGGTCCAAAGAAATTCCATAATTGGTGATTGGTAGAAAACGATCAGATGAATACAGGTTAAGTAATACAGTGTTGACTGATGCTGGGATAGGGAGGGCAATAGGGTGCAAGAAAGGTGAAGGGAAGAATAGGTCCAATAGAGAGGTGTAGGAAATGGGCTTCCAGAGGACAGGGTTTAGAGGAGGAAAAAAAAGATGAGGGGGGGGGCTAGGAGATAGCACAGTGGTGGAAGGGCAGCTGAAATTAATTAAAGGTAATGTTTATGATAATTTTGGGTAAAGTGAAATGACAAGATTAAACAATTGAGAAACCGGGAGGGAATTATCAGGGAAAAGCGCCAAGCCATTACGCTTATATAGCACTTGGAAGGAATCGGGATAAGGATTTGGGATGGGACGGGGGAAAGGAATGATGTCCAACCAATTGGACGGTCGGGGATTGATTGAACTCCAACATGCATGAAGCGCGACCGTCGCTCTACCGTCCAGCCCAAGTGGTTGGACGGTAAATCTTTAAATGCTTTAAAAATACAGTGATCCGTGATGCTCACTTGTTGCTTGACTCACTTGTTTGGTTACTTTATATTCACAGTCGTCACACTCGCTAAGGTAAACACGCCGACTGTACCAAGGGCGCGTCCAAACCTCTGACAGGAAACGCAGGAAGACAGAAGCCTCCGGAAATGTAACGATTCCGAGGCACCGAATGGGACCCGGAACCGAACCCGAAGAGGAGGAGGAGCAGCCGACCGATCATACTCATATATAGAAGGATATGAAAAACTATCCCCCTGAAGCAAAAGACCGTCCGAAGAGGGAACCAAGGGCCAAACAGGATAGAAGAATTTCCGTGAACATTCCTCGGGCCTGTGTTCAACACCAGCAGCAACACTCACTCAATACCTCAAACTGTTCCACTTTAGTTCTCACTGAAAATATAAAGGAGAGTAACTAGAGAGAGTTATTTATTTTAATTATTTATTTCGAAATAGACTATATACATATAAATATATTCTACATCACGTCACAACTCTTTACCAGCAGTGTAAGACTTAACTCTGCTGACTATACCTCCCACAACACCCAGTCTACACTGGACAACACCTCGTCCACTCTCTAGACCACACCTGGTCACCCTAGACCACACCTGGTCACCCTAGACCACACCTGGTCACCCTAGACCACACCTGGTCACCCTAGACCACACCTGGACCACCCTCAACCAGGTGTTCACACGTGATCCACACCCTGGAGTGCGGACCACCTAGTTATTGCGGACCTCACTAGGCCCATAGCACCAGTCTACGCCAACACTAACAACCACTTTTAGCACTGTTTCTCCACACCAAATATCCTGTCATTAATATCCTAGTATCCATAATCTGAATCAATAAGATCCATCGGCTTTGGTTAATCAGCCATTCTTACGCTCTCACCATTTCGACAAAACACTGCTGTGAAAGATGCTATTGCCATCTCCAGCCACATCTTTGGTCCTCTTGGCCCTGGATCTATATCTTGAGAGGTCATGGGCCTCTCAAATGAATGATCTTTTGGACTATCTCGTCATGAGTTACTGAGACCTTGCAACTCGCAGCGCGCCACGCCCTAACTGCAGGTGATCGCTTCGTGGAGTAGGAGTCCTAGTTGCTCCTTGATGAAGGGCTCGTCCTTCATCAAGGAGCAACATTCACCTGCGTCGACCCATCCATTATCTCTTCAATGACTTGTATGTTCTGAAGAAAGAGAGAGAGAGCAATAAACAAGAATACCGAAAATATATGAGAGAAGATTGAACGAAAGAATGGACAAATGAACGAAAATCGCATATTGATACATATTCAAAGATAACTGAAAGGAAAGAAACAGAAAAGTAAGCAATGAAAATGAAATGGATAGATTTGATTAAGAGGAAGGATAAGAGGAAAGAGCGCTGGGGAGGATGGAGAGAAGAGAGAGAGAAGGTTAGAAATAATCATTAACAAATGTAGCAAACGTTAGAAATAGGAATGGATAAAGTAAAGAGTAGAAAGTGGTAGGAGGGATGGAAAGGGAGACAAACAAGGGAGGGAGAAAGCAGGCGAGGAAGCAGAGTACGTTGCCTGGGAGATGGCAAATGGGAAAAAAATCCCTAGTTTAGTTAAGCAGGGCCCTGATTGGTCGGGAATGGTACCTGGATGAAGGGCGAGCACCGCTTTGATTGGCTGAGATGTCAACCTGATAGGCAGGTGAATGGCTCTCTCAAAGCCTTGGTAAAATAGAACTAGACCATAAGTAAAGATTTCGGATTGGCTGAGAACTGGTCCCGAGCGACACGCGGATAACGATCTCTTGAACGGAGAAGGAAGACCTCGGGGAAGAAGAGGAGCATCTTTCCGAAACACTAAATTAATTGCCCTAAAGAACACTGAAGAGTCTGTGATTGGATGGAAACTCAAATAATACTCACGAACATTTGTCTTAATGGTGTGTAAACTGGAGTCTTATTGGCTCATTGAAAATAAGGTACAGATTATAGTGAGGGTGATGATGATGGTGTTGAAGTTGATGAACATGTGATGATTGTTAAATTAATTATAATGATAATTGTTAAATAGATTATAAGTATGATTATCAAGTAATGAATGATTATGATGCCTTGCAGATGACGAAAATTATAATATTTCATGGTATTGTAATTCTCACATAAGAGTAGGTCTACTCCCTACTTGACGTTCTACCAACAATTGATAAATAAATTATTAGTACGAAAGGTTTCCAGTCTACCTTGTAAGACACGGAGGTTCTGCGAGGCTTCTGTAGCACCATACGTTATAACGAGTCCATATATTTCTGACACCAAGGTCTTAAAGGTAAAAAGTGGAGGAGACACGTCAGGAGAAGAACGGATATCAGTAGACTGTGTGACCTTGTTGTGACGTAATGGTCTTGTAGTTACCTGTAGTGAACTTGTAGGGGTCTTGTGTGGCTATTACTGCCTCACTGGCGTTGTCCTGTGTCATAGGTTACGTTTCTGCACTGTTGGCAATTATATGAATATGCAAACCAGTCTTCAGGCTGTTTTCGTCCAAGCAGCGACCAACCCCGAAAATCTATTTAACAATTATAACGCACTATATAGTAAAAATTGGTGTTCTTCATATGAATTAATACTATTATATATTACAATTTGGGTTATAGCTAGGCCTTAATTAAGTTAAGTGTTTAGGTTCTGTTTCCGAATATTTGTTGTACGTAGGTGAAGCATTTACAGCTTTGTGGTTCGAATAAACGTCGTCAGCGAAGCACTTGTTCGAGAAGTGTTCGAACGTCATGAGTTGTGAGTCGTGTGTAAAACGTTTTCCAATCATAAACAGGTGGTTTCTTGGGTGCATGGAATTACTTTTGGCCTTTGTTTATGACGACGAGCTGTGGAAATCAACCCGTTTTCAGACCAAGTCCATTCCATCCAGCTGTCGACCCTAAGGACATATTCATAAATTTTAGCATGCTGTTCGTTCAAACCAGTAATGTTCTCAAATATAAAGTAGTATTTATATATATCAGCTTATTGTGCATATTTAGACATTGGTTAGGTTAGATTAGGTTTTAAGATTCTGTTAGCGATTATTTGTATTTAGAGTACGTGGGTGAAGCATTTACAGCGTTGTGGTTCGAACAAAAGTCGTCAGCGAGGCACTTGTTTCTGAAGTGTTCGAACGTCATCAGTTGTGAATTGTTGTGTAATTCGTTTTTTATTCATAAACAGGGAGTTTGGTGGGTGCATGGAATGGACTTTGGCCTTTGTTTATGAGGACGGATTGCCGTACTTTATGGTCTGGCTCAGCCATCCGCTCGAGACTGGCAGTGAGAAAACCAACTGGGAATCGGAGCGAAATCTCGGACACTAACACTTCACTGTTCGCTTCCGCCATCTGCTCGAGGCTTCGGACTCAGTCGGCACCGCCTCTTCGTTTTATGAGCTTCTTCCGGCCAAACACACTTTACTGCCGTAGCTTAAAGTGTGTATATATATACTCAGTGCTTACTGGAGTGTATTTATGTAAAGTGAAGGTTCGATAGTGTGGTTTTAGATTCGAACTATTATTATGGCCATCAGACTGGAAGTATTCATATATAGCCATGTGACTGAAAATATTCTTATGGCATTGTGACCGGAAGTATTTTTATGGCCATGTGACTGAAAAATTTTCCTGTGCTCGTGTGGTATTAAAACTTTTGGCACAATTGTGTGTGTCGGTGAGGACTGGTGCGGGTACATGCTGGTGTCGCCGTCCGCCTGTTAGTGTGTCGTCTGTGAGTATATTTTGTATTTACTTCAGGAGTTGGTATTCTTGGTCTCTTCACTTTGCATTATCTAACTTTTACTTAGTAAATTGTTCTATCATTACTTGGCACGCACTCAATGTACAATATACCACTTACCTCAATGTACTATACACCACTCCCCCACCTACCATACACCACTCCCCTGATCAACCAGGCTGTGACTCATACGTCAGGCTGCGAGCAACCGCGTCTAACAGCCTGGTTGATCAGTCCAGCAACCAGGAGGCCTGGTCGACGACCGGGCCGCGGGGACACTAAGCCCCGGAAGCACCTCAAGGTAACCTCAAGGTAACCTCCCCCACCAACCATACACCATTCCCCCACCTACCATACACCACTCCCCCTCCACATATCAGGGCGGCCGCCGCTTCTCGTGTTGTTTGGAATTGTTTAAAATAATAGTTATTCTTTTGTCTTGCATCGGCTTCGCCTTTATTGTTTTCTTTTTTTCTTTACACTCACTTGTACATTCCGGCTCCTGTTGATGACACTCTCTTTCACTCCTGGTCTTTCTCTCTTGCTTTCGACCTCTCACTCTTGCTTGCACTCTCCCTCCCGTGTTCCTGGATGTCATAAACTCTCTCCTTGTTAGCTGGCTCTCCCCACCGTCCCTCACTTGACTCTGACACAGCATCTTAAGGCGTGATGGCACTCTACCACTCTCACCCCCATCCTACCTCTCACTAGACGTCCAGGTCCTCACGCTCCCCTCTTACCTTCCCTCAATCTCCTTTCCCCTCTCGCCTTCCCTGTCTTCCATATCACTCTCACTCTTCTTCTGTTTTCTCATGCCCCCTTTCCTTCCTTATGTCTCTCCTCCACCCTCGTCTTCCCTGTCTACCCTCCTGCTTCTGTTTGCTCAGCTGCCTACAAGGTTACCTTCACCATATTTGGCTGCCTTTTACTTGCTTGACTTCTTGTTGCTTGTTTGGGTGCTTCATTAGTTGCTTGCTTGGCTTCCTGCTAGGCTGTCTGCTTGGCTGCCTGTTTGGCTGTCTGGCGGCCTGCTGTCTGCTTGGCTTCCTGCTGCTTGTATGGCTGGCTGCTGCTCCTTAACTCAATCAAGTCTTCTTGCCTCCTGACATCCCATCTTCCCCTCCATTATCCCTACTCTTTACCGAGCCCAGCAGCCTCATCTGTCTCAATATTACAATTATCTTTCTTCATGACGCTGGCTAACTTTTCCATCGATATTTTTCTTTGTCTCTGTCCCTTGGGTCTTCCCACCGCTCCCTTTACCTTCTGCCCCTTAGGCTCAGGCTGCACTCTCACTCCAGCCCTTTCTTTCCCCTTTACACTCTTTCCCATTGGTTTCTATAGTTCCTTTGTACACTGGTGCCTCCAGTCTTCGAGCGATCTCTTCCAGTTTAGTCCCACGAGTTCCCTACAGTCTCTACTCCTCCTTCCATGTGCACAACATTTCTCATATCATTTATAACAGTATTATAGATGTTCTGATTTTCTTGTGGAAGCTCACTTGCATCGTATTTCTCACTGAACCTACATAGCGCACGATATTCTTCACATGTTATTTCCTTTGGAGGTGAATCAAGAAGCGTCTATTATTTAATTTACATATCCCCCCCCTCCCCTCCACCACCACCACCAAAATACCACTTTGGCTATCCCGCTATATTTTCAAGAGAGACAGTCTCTATTCACTTCGTTTTCCATTATAATTCCCTCTTCATTTCTCGCTGCTCTCGAGGAAGCTTGTAGTCTGAACGCCTTTGTCAGTTTCGAAACACAATTTTCGTACCTTTCATTCTTTAAATCATTTAAGTCATGATGTCCTTTACACGCTTTGTGCGTCATTGTTAACTCCCCGCACCGCGCCGCTGCCTGTCGTTCCTCTAATCTCGTCTAGTCTATCTAGAAGTAGAGAGCTGTCACCCTGCCCCGCCCTCACTATACACACACACATCGCAGACCTAAACCAACACTCTGGGGGCCACCATAATGCCCCCTTCTTCTCCCTTCTGCTGCACCTCCTCCTCCTCCTCCTTCCATTATTCTTCGAGCTCTCTGAGTCTAGCCGACCCTTAGATGGTAATACTTGCCAGGAAAAATAGCAAGACCGATGCTAAACCGGTTTACGGAGGCACAAAACGAAATTAAGGTCAATGCCATTTGGGACCTTAAGTGAGATTCGGGCGGACAGCCTCTCCTGCTTGTTTTCTCTTGTTTTAGTCGCTTCTCTTGATCGTGTCACTGTGGTACGTGAGGAAGGGCGACACACACACACACACATACGCACACGCACACACACTCACACGCACGCACCACGCTATGGCAGTCAATTGTTCAATCACTTGGGTGTGAGATTTGGTACTTAAGACGGTTCCCATTATATTTGTAAACGTTCTATGTTTATTTTGTCCCAGTCAATCCTTTTTTTTCGTTAAAATTAAATTTACTGAATATCTCTTAGAGGGTCTGATGGATTGTTTGGGTTTGTACGTCCCTGGCTTGACGAAACAGCTTAATGTTTAACGGAATATCAAATCGAGTGAACGGGAGGCCGAGCTGACATCGACTGGGTAGCACCTCACCTCCCCTTCCCTCACTTTCCCTCCCTTCCCCTCCCTGTCCCTTACGTCCCCTCCCCTTCCCTCACGTTCCCTCCCTTCCCCTCCCTGTCCCTCACGTCCCCTCCCCTCCCACTGAGGGAATGCAAGTTATTTACGAGTTCATTAATGTTCAACAATTTTTCAGAAGAATTAAAACCCAACTAACCATTGTTGCCCAAATTTTCCCCCATCCTCTATTCTTGGATTGTCTCGTTCAGTTTTACCAGATAAGAGAAGTACTCGCATGTGCATTACTCTCCTACTTGTGCTTCAACAGTACTGTCACTTGTGCTTCAACAGTACTGTCACTTGTGCTTCAACAGTACTGTCACTTGTGCTTCAACAGTACTGTCACTTGTGCTTCAACAGTACTGTCACTTGTGCTTCAACAGTACTGTCACTTGTGCTTCAACAGTACTGTCACGTGTGCTTCAACAGTACTGTAACGTGTGCTTCAACAGTACTGTCACTTGTGCTTCAACAGTACTGTCACTTGTGCTTCAACAGTACTGTCACTTGTGCTACAACAGTACTGTCACTTGTGCTACAAACAGTACTGTCACTTGTGCTACAGCAGTACTGTCACTTGTGCTACAGCAGTACTGTCACTTGTGGTACATATCTTAGTATGAGAGAGTTATCCCGGCAGGAGAGTCAGAAGTGAAGGTGCCTCCCGGAGCCGTCATCACGGTGAAGAGAGGCAACTCTGGCCTCGCCTTCCTAGACACTAGCTCCTGGTTGATTCTAGTCACTGTCCTGATGACATTATACATGTTGTTATAATTTATTCACTGAATATGGCCTTTGATGATTTGTGTTTTAAGGTTTTATAATGACAAACATTTGCCTTGGCCTGGCTTGAGTTCTATTCTTTTAGACGCTAACTGTGAGGGTTTAATCATTCTATAAAGAAAGAAGGGTTCATTAGGGAGTAAATCGCTTGCTCTCACTGCCCTCCACACAACCACCAAACCAGTCATGTTTTGGCTTGCAATTGGGGAAAATTTTTGGTTAAATTTCATGAGGCCGGAGTAAATTTAGTCTGAAGCAGGAAAAGTTTGGAAA